GGTGAAACTCATTGACCCGTCAGCGGCGGCTAAATAAGTCCTATTAAGCATACAAGGCTTACGCCCGTATAATGTATTTTATACGTTCAAAATTTAAAAATAAAACTTTGATTAAAAACACAAAACAAATTTGCTGTTATTTGCGCGTGCGCAATGATGTAATATAATCGAATATCTGCCGCACCCAAATGAAAGCCATTTGCTTTCAGTGTTCACAGCGATAACAATGAGTGATTCAATTATCGAGACAATTTCAACAATTGTGAGTATATATTGTGTTTAAATTATTTTACATTATTAAACGCAATATTTGCTCATGAAGGAACGCTGGAACGAGGTCAACGATTTGCAGGATAAGATTGTTCTCATATACAGCTCGAAAGAGAACATGCACATGCATTTCAAGTCTGGTATTGACGAAATATTGAGATCAAGTGTTTGCAACTGTGGAAATTTTCGGCACCATTTCCCGGCCTATTGCATCGATGCGCTCACCACCCCTGATCTCGCTCGGCAAATCATGACTCAAACAAAAGTGCACGCTATTCCATCGGTTGTGTTTGTTAAGAGCGGTCACGTACGGATGGTACAGTTCACTACACTCGTCCACCATTTCTCTAGAAATTGCGAGATAATGTCCAAGTGCTTGTACTAATTTATACATTTTTTATTCGCTTGTTTTATTAGTCAAATACTCAGCAAACTATTGTATACTTATGTGCCTAGCGCTGGGTAGTCTATATACAACAGTGGCTGACTTCGAGTCAATGAGTACGAGTTCAAGACAGTCCCGGCGCTTAGCATTTTTTTTTAGAATAATTGTTTTCAATTTTTTATTTGTTATTTAGCTTAATTATGCAAATTATTCATTAAATAACATAAATATTATGTGTAACGATTAATTACCAGTTGATATTTGAATTAAAAACAATTTTGTATTGAGTTTCAATATTTGGTGTGCATTTGATATTTTTGGTGAATTTTTTCTATGTCCTGAAAAGTGGTCGAAATATATCTATCACTACTCGTGGTATTTGTTTGCGAACATAAATACCACCAAAACTCTAACGTTAATATATGGACTGTACGGCGATTATAGTTTTACCTGTTGTGGAGTGAGAGACCTGTTTGCGCTTTAGTGCATTGTATGTGTTTGTATGGAGAGAGCGGAGAGTCTGATTGTATTGAGTGTATGTCTGGAGTGTGTGTCTGTGTTTTAGCGACCAAAAAAACTTATGTTTTGTTTCAATTCTCTTATAATTTAATACTTTTTTAATCAAAAACCCTTTGAAATTTATATTAAAATGTTCAGTATGGGGAATAAACTACTAATGGAAATTATTTGAAGCAAATGAAGTACAATTCAATAAAGGGTTTTTAATCATTTTAATTGCTGTGAATATAACAGTGTCTGTGATATTAATTAACAGTAATTACATTACTTTAAACAATAAATATGCATATATTTTGGACGGAAACCTAACTTTTGACGAAAATTTTAATATTCATAACAACATAAGTGGGTATCCAATGAATATTGTGCCAAATTATGTGCATTACGTGCTCTTCAATGTATCGGAGATAGAGTTCGGGCACTTTATATCCATACTATCGGTGCTGAAAAACCAAAGGCCAGACCGGATATACATTCACACCGATAAACAACAACTGATTGGCAGTAATTACAAACGACTGTTAAAAGTTATGGATAGATTGCATACAAAATTAATAATACGAAAAATACATCAACCGTATGCTGTATTTGGGCAACGAATACATCATACATATCACGCCTCAGATATAGTACGGCTGCGAGTGTTGGCTGAGTTCGGGGGCCTATATCTGGATCGAGATGTATATGTGGTTAAGTCGATGGATGTGTTTCGCAAGTATGAGATGACTCTGGATTGGGATGAGGGCCAATATCTGGGTAATCAAGTGATTATAGCCCACCCGAAAGCCCGGTTCCTGAAACTATGGCTGCAAACTTATCAAGATTACAAGGGGGACAAATGGTATTACAACGGGGGAGAATTGCCCACACAATCCATACTCTATAAAAAACCAGAACTTATACATAGGGTTCGTATAGAGTTTGGGGTTAATATCTTTGATGTTTGTCCGAAAATGTATGTACTATATTATCCTTATTGGGTTCATAACTATTATACAATGCATATGTCTATAAGAGGGCGACATATATCGCAAATTGGCATTTGTTTTCTTAGCCAAGAATTATATCCTTTTGATAAAATAATTGTCAAACAATTAAACGTTACTTTCGGTGAAATGACAAGAAATGTGTTTGAATTTGAACGCAATGTTATCAATAATTTTGTGTAATAAGTTAATAGAAATTTTATTGTCAGTAATTAAAACATTATGTGTTTTATGAACTTATTTAAACGCCATATGTACAGTATATTATGGCCATATTTATTTGTTAGTTAATAAATATTAACATGGTAATTACAAAATAATAGCTTTATTATTTTTTAAAATAGACTACATTGAGTACTGAGAAAAATAAAATCACCTTTATCAGTATACTATTATATTATTACAGTATACAATATTGAATGAATCGAAAAATTTATTGCAACTTATTTTTCAATTGGCAACAATTAAATATTACTCTCTTTATGTTTTATATTTTATTTACTAAATTTATTAACTCACCATGATTATGAATGTATACAAGTTAACAAAAATAAAACAGACTGTGCTAAAAAATTTTATTTTAATAATTTTGTTTGTTTTAAATATAAAATTATTTATATTATTACTTAATTGCAATCAATTTAGTGATGAATATTTTCCACAAAACTTAACATTTAATGAAAACCAAACTTGTTGTGATAACATCACGGGATATCCAATGAATATTGTGCCCAATTATGTTCATTATGTGCTCTTCAATGTATCAGAGATAGAGTTCGCGCACTTTATATCCATACTATCAGTACTGAAAAATCAACGCCCGGATAGGATATACATCCACACCGATAGCCGACATTTGGTTGGCTATAATTACAAACGAGTAACAAATGTAATGAATAAATTGCGGTCAACAAAATTAATTATACGAAAAATACACAAACCTCAGGCGGTATTCGGACAGATGTTAACTCCCAAATGGGTCGGCTATCACGGCTCAGATATAGTACGACTGCGAGTGTTGACTGAGTTCGGGGGCCTATATCTGGATCGAGATGTATATGTGGTTAAGTCGATGGATGTGTTTCGCAAATTTGAGATGACACTGAACTGGGATGAGGGCATCTATGTGGGCAATCAAGTGATCATGGCCCATCCAAACGCCCGGTTTCTGAAACTATGGCTGCAAAGTTATCAAGATTATAAAATGATCTGGTACTATAACGGGGGTGAATTGCCCACAAAATCCATTTTATACAAAAGGGCCGATTATATACATAGGATTCGAATGAAGTTTGGGGTGAATTGCGGTGATGTCTGTCCGATGCTGTTTATGAGATACGACCCGAATTGGATACAACATTACTATACAATGCATATGTATGTTAGGGGCAATAATGTCTCCCAAAGAAGTATTTGCTTTCAAAACCTCGAATACTATCCAATGGACGAACATATGGTTCAAAAACTTAACGTTACTTTCGGCGAAATAACCAAAAGTGTGTTTGACTTTGAATACAATGTTATCAACGGATGGCTGTAATCAATCAGATTCTCGATTGCATTCATTTAGTACTGTATTTGATATCATTAATGATAGCATCACTACGATAAATAACATGGGTGTTTTAGTTTTGTTAACTATTCAATTAGTGGTTAATTATGTTTTGTTAGAAACATACAAATATATTTCCGGTTATTTTATTTGTTAAGAAAATGTATGCATTCATCACTTAAATAATAATTTATAACTCATTCAATACATACACTTCCTATCAATTATTTCCTGATTTTATATTATTTTTACAATTATTTTATTTTATGTCATAATAAATATGTTTTCAGTTTATATAACGAGTATTTTTTAATTAAAATTTCATTACTACAAATAATTATATATTTTTGTGCTAATTATGCAATATTTTCACTTAACTTATTTAACGTATAGACAAATACTTGATTCACAAGTAAGTATACATTTATTCACTTTTAGCTCATTTTAATCACAACAATCTTTGTAACTAGATCTAATATTTTATACTCAATTTCCATAATAATTTTTATAACTTTTCAGAATCAGAATTACATGATAATCTAAATATACAAAACGCCCATTAGGTAACTCCCAGAACATGATACTTTTATAAAAAACAAATTTAACAAAAACTTCAGTATTATAACTTATAATTTATAAGAATAAAATCTAACCAATCACATTTACATATATATTTAAACTAAAGATATTTAAAAATTAACATAATTGAATTAAATTCTGCCATAGTTAACCACATAAAACAAACTACTCCCACATATTGTGGGCAGTTATTACACGTAATTACAATGCATTTCAATGCAAAACTAATTCATAAAACTCTCAAAAGGGGACAAAAAGAATAATTATAAACAGTTAGATAACGTAATATATGAACGACTCCTAGCATTAAGTGCACAGAGTGTTGACCGAAAGGCCACGAAAACAAACACTCGTTTAAATCCGTGATTAGAGAGTTCACAGACTCTGACTCATCAGACAGTCATCACGTGGTTTACCACAACTCCCACACCGATAGCCGCCGAACGCAACACGTGTTGAACGGCACGTGATTTAGTGGCCAACGGATCAGTTGTTGTTGTCTTCGTTGACACCACTCGTTATAATGAACCCCAAAATCTACTGACAATTGTTGACCACATTATCTGTTAATCTGTTTGTTTACATATCCGCGGACTCGTTGTCATACATCACCCGTAACTCATCCATCCATTCATCCGATCGGTGTTGCGATCCGATCGACTCAACTGACCATCTGTTGTGTGACAACACATCCCATCCAATACACGACATGTCGATGTCGTCGATGCAGACCACGAACTATCACTCGGAGAACAGTTACGACAGCGGAGGTTACGGCCAAAGCGATGGCCTGTCGGGCGGAGGTATGTCCGCCTCCGGAGGTATGACTCACTCGTACAGCGAATCCAATCTAATGGGAGGCAGCGGTGGCGGCAGCGGAGGTCTGTCAGGAATGTCGGGCTCGTCTTCGCGGACAGGGATGTCATTCCTGACGGGCGGACACTCGGCCTCAACCAAACACGAAGACCTCAAACAGATGCTCGAGTCTAACAAAGACGGCCTCAAACTGGAGGCCATGAAACGGATCATCGGTATGATCGCGAAGGGAAGGGCCGGTGAGGCGCCCCGCGAGCTGTTCCCACACGTGGTGAAGAACGTGGTGACGAAGAACGCGGAGCTGAAGAAGTTGGTGTACCTGTATCTGACCCGATACGCGGAACAGGAGCAAGACTTGGCCCTCCTATCCATCGCCACATTCCAGCGCTCACTGAAAGACCCAAATCCGCTGATCCGGGCGTCGGCCATACGGGTGCTGTCGTCCATACGGGTGTCGATCATAGCGCCCATAATGTTGATCGCGATCCGCGACTGCAGTAACGACATGTCTCCATACGTGCGCAAAACCGCTGCTCACGCCATACCGAAGCTCTACTCACTGGATCCGGACCTGAAGAACGAGATCATCGACATCATAGAGCGGCTGCTGAACGACCGGACGTCGTTGGTGTTGGGGTCGGCGGTGGCCGCGTTCGAGGAGGTGTGTCCCGACCGGTTCGATCTGATCCATCAAAACTATCGCAAATTTTGCTCACTCTTGGTCGACGTGGACGAGTGGGGACAGATCATACTCATCAATATGTTGATCCGTTACGCGCGCACGCAGTTCACGGACCCCAACGGTGGCCGCTATCACGCGGCGACCGCTTCCCAGTCGTCGCTGGACACCGACCCCACTGTCTTGGACGCCGACCATCGGGCGCTTCTCCGGAGCGCCAAACCGCTGCTCCAGAGCCGCAATTCGGGTGTAGTGTTGGCCGTCATTCAGATGTATCTATCGCTGGCGCCCAACAGCGAACTCAACGCTATTATTGTCAAACCGTTGATTCGTTTGCTTCATTCCCATCGAGAGATACAACTCGTTGTGTTGAAGAATATCGTGTCGTTGACCACTGTTTCGGCCGCCGATGACAGCGATCGCGAGGCCATCACCGATGACCACAAGAATAAAGAGAACGCCGATAACGGTCTGAACGACGAGAACAATGGGGTCGAGAAGAGAGACAAAGACGGTTACGATGAGGACGACGACGACGAGGAAGAGTTCTTTAAGTTTGGGAGCGGCGGTGGAAGCGGTCACTCGTCGGCGAAGAACATCAAAACCCTGTTTGAGCCGCACTTGAAGTCGTTTTTCATCAAATCCAAGGACTCGACTCAGACAAAGATTCTTAAGCTCGAAATACTGACCAATTTGTCGAATTCGGCCAATATTTCGCTCATTTTACGTGAATTCCAGGCCTATATCAACAACTATCAGGAGGACCTCGAGTTCATGGCCGCCACCATTCAGTCCATCGGCCACATCGCCGCCCGAATCAAAGAGATAGCGCCCATATGTCTGAACGGTTTGATTACACTGCTGTCCAATCGGAACGAGACGATCGTTTCGCACAGCATTGTCGTCATCCGGACGCAGATCATCAACAAAGACGACACCATTATATCGGCTATTATTAAACAAGTGGTGCGACTGATGGACAAGATTCACACACCGCAGGCGCGGGCGACCATTCTCTGGATTTTGGCCGAATTCTGTCCCGTCAACGAACGGGCGGCCAAATACGCGCCCGACGTTCTCCGCAAACTGGCCAAGACTTTCTGTCTCGAGGCCGACACCGTTAAGCTACAGGCGCTCAATCTGTCGGCCAAACTCTTCATAACGCAGGACACCAGCGATCGGATCAAACTGTTGGTCAACTTTCTGTTCAATTTGGCCAAATATGACTTGAACTATGACGTCAGGGATAGGGGACGTCTCTTGAGGCAACTCCTCAACGACCCGACTCTCGCCAAACGTATACTACTTGTGCCCAAATGCGTGCCCGACGTGGGCGGCGGTGGCGTCGGTCGCGCCGACTCTGGCCATCAGTTCCGCATCGGAACGCTGTCTCACTTCTTGGAGAAGAGGGCCGCCGACTACGAGGAACTGCCCGATTGGCCGCTCGAACAGCCGGACACTAGCGTTAGGGCCCGCAAAGAGGTGTATGTGGAGGAGCCGACGCCCACCTTCGCTCTCGTCAACATCAAAGACAATAGAAGTGAACGAACGCTCAAGAAGTTGAAGGAGAAGTCGTTTTACTCGAGCGAAGAGTCCGCCGACGAGAGCGAAGAGGACGACACCGACGAAGAGGAAGAAGAATCGGATGAAGAGGAGGACAGCGACGAAGAGATAAGCGGTGAGGAGGAGAGCGATGACGAAGAAGAGGAGGAAACAGACGCCGAAGACGAGGAGGAAGAGGACGGAGAGTCGAGCGGTGAAGAGGAGGAGAGCGATGACGGAGCGGAGGAAGTGTTGACCACTAAAGCCAATGCCAGTAAACCATCGAAATCTAGTAATTCGTCGAAAGCTGTTCTCAAATAATATGGTTTTACTGTTTGATATCAAAATGAGTGAAAATCTATTATATAATACAAAGTACTCTTCAGTTAGTGTTGAGCGACATTTTAGTGGTGTTTCTCCCGTACACTATATGTGTAATTACGGTATGATTTTATACGAAATTATAGTGTATTTTTTGCCCTTCAATGACCCCATTGTGGGCACAAATCTATCGTTTATTTTATAATTGTTTTTTTAAATTCAATAATTTGTTTTTTATACAACGGATTATCCTATGGCTTAAGAGTTAATCCAATGCAATGTTTAGTTTCTATAATTGTTTTCTTATATATTTAATTGAATTTTCTTAACAAATGAAATCCGAAACTGAATTGTGAATTAAATTGTTTGAGAAAATGTTTATTATTTTCTAAACAAAAAATTGTTAAATTCTATATAAAAATAAAGTTAATTATTAAACAAATATACAGTATTTCGATATCATTTCCAAATATAAAGTTGAATAAAATAAAATTTACATAAAATTGAATACAATTTTCCATAAAATTACGATTATTTGATTGACAAAAGTATTGAAAAAATACATGAGACTAAAGTTAGGTTAAATTTTAGGCAGAGGTCAAAAAGGTTTAGTCATCGCCAATTTTACTACCTCTACGGTGAACATTTTTACCCTCATACACCGCACATAAGCCATATCTTTTTGCATATTTTTGGCAACAGATGGCATTAGCAAACACTTTTTGTCATATACTCAGAGTTGAGATATGCGAATGAACTCTGAGTGTACGTCCAAAAAGGGTTTGCTTTGTGGAATAATAACGCCATCTGTTGCCAAAAATATTCATAATGTGCGGTATATGGGGGTAAAAATGTTCACCGTAGAGGTAGTAAAATTGCCGATGACTAAATATTTTTGACCTCTGCCTAAAATATAACCCTACTTTAGTCTCTGGTATATTACCTATGCTTTTGTCACTTAAATAATCGTAATTTTATGGAACATTTTATACACCTTTTGCAGTACTTTTGTCATATGTATTGCGCCAACCCTATTAATTCTATCAATTCATTATCTAATAGTTTTTTCAAAAGTTTTTTAATCAAATAAAAATGAGAAAAAATACAAATTATTAAAAAAAATATATTTAAAAATCATTTTTTTTGGCATAACTTTTTGAGATTAAACGCCGAAAAGTGGTTGAATAAACACAATATAATATATGGTAAACAATTATTGCAACAAATATCACAATCAAATGAACAATTATTATAAACTTATAAACAAATTCATGTAAATTTCATATAATAGTGAACACTGGATATAGTGAACAGATATAACAGCATAACTACAGGCACTCAATGACTATTACAAACACAATCGGTATTTCAACGGCAAATGGCCTCAAAAGACATCACTTTCTATCACTGGTTGAGACCCGAAATGTGTATCCAAGTTATGAAAAGCCATATTCACTATAACGAGTGTTCGCTATCTATATTAAATATACATGTTTAAAATGTACGAAATAGCCAACTATTGAGTCACAGGCTGTCATTAATTTGTGGGGCAGTTATTGAGAATTGAAATACGAGTTAATTTACTACACATTATTGGGATGAAGTATTGTTAGCGCTGTCTTCAAACATGTTCATCGGGTAGTGCTCTTTATAGGCGGCCACGTGTGCGGCCAAATCGCGGTACTGTTCGGCCAAATGGTCGGGCAATTCCTCGTACACGTCGGTGAACATAGTCTTAAGGCTGGGTTTAAGCACTTTCTCCGCCCGAACCACAGCCGCCAACACC